CTGCTGAAATTAGGCCACTGGTTTGTAGACAGTCAGTCAGAGACTATATCAGCCTTAATAATAGAGGTTAACAGTTAGCCTTCATTAGTTACATTGACCTTGATAATTCAGAGACCCCCTTGCAATGACAGCACTGTGAAGAATTTGTTCATTTAACAAATACTTATTGTACAGATTGCTGTCCTGGGCAGCAACGACCACCAAGCTGGGAAAGGCCAGGTCCCTGACCTCCCACTCATAGCTCATTAGAGACATGGAGATGGGTCTCCATAGTTGTAAACGAGGCAGAACGAGGTGAGTGAGACCAGAGAGATACCAACTGGGTTGACTAGGAAGATTTCATGGAGGAGATGGCATTTATGACAGGACCCAAGAAATAGGTCCCATTTCTGTAGGACTGGAAGAGAGAGGAGGACATTCTAAGCCAAGGGAATGTCTAAGCAAACATGGTGCTTTAGAGAAGTTCAAGGTATGTGCAGGGAACCATGAGAGGTGGTGAGGTGTGTGATGTAAGGTGCCTAAAGAATGGAGTTGTGAAATAAGTCATAGACAGAACGATGTCTGCAGTCAGGGCAGAGTGCTATGAGCCTCACGGAAGGAGGTTAGTAGGTAATGGGGCTGCTGAAGATTTTTAGAGAACAGGAACATGCGCAGAGCTGAAGTGTTGGGAGACTGATCTGGAAATTACATGGGGCCAGAGCAAATCACCAAGTGCGAGAGAGAGAGCGAGGACCTGAACCGATGGGACAGCAGGGCAGTTGGAGGTATAATAGGACAGAATTGAAATTTGCTTCTCTTTTAAATTGTGAATTAAGGCTGGCAGAAAACAAAGCCGTGAGGATACTGCAAATAAGAAGTCCTCAGTCTGCTTTGTGTTCAGACATCTGCTTTCCTGTGTCAATGTCTTGGGTATGAGACCCGCATTAATGACTGTGAGATCAACCCAAATAGTAGGAAGACCGGGAAAAGGAATCGTGGGACCGCACTTGGAGCCGAAATCAGAAGTCGGAGGTTGTAGTCCAGGCTGGTAGCTGTGTGACTGGTGAACTGCTTTTCCTCACAGGACCTCAATGTCTCTGATTGTAAACTTGAACTATCCACAACCCCTTTCAACACTTACACATGACGATCCTGTGAAAGGATTATGCAGAGGCCTGTAAATGCACCATTCACCATCCCAGCTGCTTTTATGTACCTTTAAAGGCATTTGTTTCTTGTGACAATGCTAGGAAGTAGGTACTTGCTATGGTCTGAATGTGTTCCTCCCATCTTTCTATGTTGAAATCCTAACTCCCAGAGTAACGAAATTAGGAAATGGGGCCTTTGGGAGGTGATTAAATCATTAGAGTGGAGTCCTCATGAATGAGACTAGAGCTCTTACAAAACAGACCCCAGAGAGTTCTCACATGAGGACACAGTGAGAAGACAGCTGTCCATGAGCCAGAAAGTAGATCCTCACCAGATGAGCCTGCCAGCACCATGATCTTAGACTTCCTAGCCACTGGAACTGGGAAAAGAAAATTAGTATTGTTTAGAAGCCAGTCAGTCTGCGGTACCCTGTTAGAGGGGCCCAAACAGAATTAGACAGTACTATGAACATCCCTATTTTGAGAGTAGAAAAATGGGAGGCACAAAGAGGGAGCCAAATAGAAGGGCAGGATTTCAGGTCAACCAGTCTGGCTTCAGAGCTTATGCTCCTAATTGTGGACTATGTGGTTTCTCCATATGACACTGTGACATGACACTGCCCTGGGGAAGTCAGGGCCCGGAAGCCACTAAAATGCTTCTTCACAGATGCATGAAAACCATGCTTGAATGCCAGGGCCTTGGTTTCCTCCCTCACAGGGCCCAGACCACTCGGGCAGGAAGGATAGGGCACAGAGTGCTGCTTGAACAGTGGTCAGGGTATCACAACATGGTCTGCTAGAAACCCACAGACAAGCAGCGTGGGGCCTCGTACCTGCTCACACTGGAGAAGTCACACCTGCACCCACTCCCATCCCACCAGAGCTGCCCAAGAGTGAGCTGGCCTGGCATGGCTCAGTGTCCACTCTCCACCCATTACCAGACCTGCTTTCGGCCACTGGGGTCTCTTGGCTCACATTTTCCAAACATCTGGGATTCATCTGGGTGTAGTTAGAGGAGGCCATGCCCGACCAAAGGGTCTGCACTGTCCTGATTTCGTCTGATATTACAGGCGTGATTAAGTATGTGGGGATGTGACCCCACCTTTTAAGTAAGAGTTTCACAGTATACAAGGCATCTTCATAGAAGCTCGAAAACACCCAGTGAGCCAGCTTAGGGCAGATAATACCTGTTCCGCTCATTTCATAGACGAGGAAACTGAAGCTGAGAGAGATCAAATGGCTCGACAGAAAGCCGGTCAGCTATGGACCGCTGGGGGAACTGAAGTGCTGCTCTTTAGTCTGCAAATCTAGCCCTCTTCCCTCTACGGCACAGCATCGAGTGGGAAACGACTAGTCAGTGGCATCCATGGCTTTTAAAAACACGTGATGAACATCCAGACAGGGAAGTTCTGCCGCTGCCATTGCATCCCAGTCCTGGAGCAACTCCCAGTGTGTTGGTGTTATGGCGTGTTTATAAGGAAATCACGCCAGAGTGGCCAAGGAAGCCGAGAGAGGCATATCGTGTGTGTGTTACTGAGATGTAATGCATTGCCTTTGGGACTGCAGCAACCGCCCACACCTGTGAGTGCCATAACCCGACCAGCAGCACTGAGGAGAAGGAACTCGGGCTCTTGGATAGAGCCTGAGATGGTAAGCCTGGAAACCTGAGTTCAAGTCCCCACTCTGCTACTTACTAATGTGATCTTGACAAGTCACGTCCCTTCTCTGGAATTCATCATTTTCTTATGTAAAATGGGGGTAAAACCCTGTGCCTCACCTGCCTCCCAGGGCTGTTGTCTGGGTCACATGAGATCAGAGACACTAAAGGAGCCTTTTGTCCTCGTAGAAAGATAGATGTGTGTGAGGAGTCACACCACAGACATTTACAATCTTTCCCCATTAAAGGGCATGTGCTGGCCCTAGGAAAGTGACCCGTAATTTTCAAGAACCTAATTTGGTACCTCTCCTGGCTGCTGAGACCAGCCACCAGATCAGCCCTCCTTAGTACTCTAGCACTTGGAGTCTTCCTGCCAGTCTAGCTGAAAACATTGTCACTAGACCAAGGACACATTGAGTAGCTGGCTTTCTGTTCGGGAGGCTGTCCCACTAAAAGATGCTAGAAAGGGGCCTGGAGTCACCTCATGTGGCAAGACAGAGACTGACTTGGCTGCCCAGTGGACTCATGGGCCGTAGCAGGTGTGCTGGAATCCTGAGTCATCCTCCCACTCCCACCGACTCATCTGACTGACCTCTAACTCTCTTCCAGCCCTAAGTCTCTGAATCTATGGAGCTGGTTCACTCCACAAGTGTTGCCGATTCACTTTACCACTCTCCATGCCATTTCCCCATCTGCAAAAACCAAATCACACTTCCCTCCCACCAGCTGCAGGGTGCTGCTGTGCAGTTTAATTAGACAGTCGCTCTCAACCCGATAATCTCCTTGGAGGATGCCTGCCTCATTCAATCACTCAGTTGTAATGAGATCATCACTGGAACTGGCAGCTTGCATAGCGTTGGAATTCAAGCAAAGCTCACCAGGATTTCCACAAAAGCGCCTTAAGCCTCGGGTGCCCTAGGGTAGCTGCTGCCCAGCTGATGTCAACCTTCCCACCAGCAGCCTCCCAGAGCTGCGTCAATCACAATGAGGCTTGCTGGCAACTTGTAAAACTCCTCAGAGACAGCTCTCTTGGGCTTGCTGCTGCTCTTCTTCAGAAATCATATCTTTGTGGGCAGAGCCTGCAGAAGAATGGGAGGAAGATTGAAGGGCATGAAATGCTACCTCCACTGTGACCAGTCTCTAGCCTATAGGAAGCGGGAACTGGAGAGTTTATTAATTAATACAGCAGTTCTCGAAGAGTTCACTATGGGTCCCTGGAGTTACCAAGGCCCTTTCAGGGGTTCCATGAAGTCAAAACTATTTTCATAATGGTACAAAGACATTATATACCTTTTCTCTCTCATCTGTGGTAATGGTGAAAAAGCAACAGTGAATAAAACTGCTGGTCCCTTAGCTCAAATCAAGACAGTGACACCACACTGTCCTGGTAATCATTGTATCATTCACTATCGTGCGCTCATGGTAAAAAATATTACTTAAATGCCAGTTGCACTTAAGATGAGCCCTGATGAAACAGTGAAGTTAACTTGATTAAATCTCAGCCTTCAAGTGACACATTGCTTTAGCATTTCCCTGTGGTGTGAGGACACACAGACACTTCAGCTATGAAAGTACAGTAGTTGCCTCAAGGAAAAAATCGCTTGTGCAACTGTTTGAGCAGTGAGCTGCCCTAGTCACTTTTTCAGAAAACATGTTTTTACTTGAAAGAAACAACTGACAGGCAAACTATGGTTATTCAGGCTTGGGTTTTGGCAGCTATTTTCTCAGAAATGAATCTCTTAAGGCTGTCACTTTAAGGAAAACAACAGACAGTGTTTGTTGCCAGTGACAAAAATATAAGCTTTCAATTAAGAATTAGAATTTTAGGAAAATTGTGTCTGCCACTGTAAGCTTAACACCTTTCTAATATTTAATGACTTTTCCAATCATATGCCAGTTGATGATACTAATGAGTGTGATTTTTAAATATTGAATGATAAAATACATTAACTTTTAGAAAATGTATATAACTGTGAACCAGTATGTTTCAAGATATCAATGCATGGTGTTCGAAAAAGATACATTCAAGAGCAAGATAAAAGAATAGACTTTACGGTTAACAAAGTAAAAAAGTTCATTGATATGATTTCCACAATGTAATTCACCTTAAGAAACTACTTCTGCTTGAGTCTGTGTGTAGTATCAAAAAAAATGCTTAATCATCTGAGACGACTATTCAAACACTCCTCTCTTTTTCAACTACATGTGCATGTAAGGCCAGATTCTTCTCACATACTTCGACCAAACAACCGAGCACAAGCGAGTGAGAGCAGCGACAGCTATGAGACACCAGCTTAGACTATTAAGCCAAGCATTAAAGCAACATGCAGAACTATGAAATGATGTCACTCTTCTCAGTATTTTTGTTTTGGGAAATAGAATTACTTTTTATTAAAAAATGTTACTTATATTGACATGTTTATATTACTATTTTTATTTTTAAAGATTTTATTTATTTATATTTAGAGGGGATGGGAAGGAGACAGGGAGAAAGATACCAATGTATGGTTGCCTCTTGTGTGTCCCTTGCTGGGAACTGGCCTGCAACCCAGGCATGTGCCCTGACTCAGAATCAAACTGCGATCCTTTGGTTCGCAGGCCCGCGCTCAATCCACTGAGTTACACCAGCCAGGGCTATATTACTATTTTTAAATGAATCAGTAAATAAATATTTTTAATCCCTCTGTTTTAATTTCTAATGCAGTAAATATTGACAGATACAACTTACATAAGCAAAATCTCTTTGGGGTCCTCAGTGATTTTTAACAGTGGAGGAGGGTCTTGAGACCCAGTGGTTTGAGAACCCCTAAATCGTGACATTCTATTGTTTTAGGATTTGCAGACTTGCAGCAGTGAGACTGCGTCAAGGACCTAAGACTCAACTGCTTGCTGGGAGAGCTGAGGAAGGCCGGGACTAAGGCAGAGGCAGTGGGGCCGGCCGGAGGAGCCATGTACTTCACTGTGAAAACCGGGGTCTCTGTCACATTTTGGTCTGATTGCAATCCTGAAGTCTACAAGACCACGACCTCCTTTAAAGGGTGTGGTAATTTCCACCACAAGTTATTTGAGAAAGAGATGGGTGCCCTGACAAGAAGCAGAATTAGAGCATGTAAATAGGAGGAGACCCTCACTCCAGCTTTCTTAGTGGAGACGTGAAGAGTCAAGGGAACTGAGTACGTACTCTGCTTGGCAGGTGCCGAGGTAATGCCCACCCTAGGGATCCAGAAGGGGAGCCAGGGCGGGGCAGGATCTGTAGGCTTCAAAGGCAAGGTCCACTCTGAATACCAGGCTATTTTGCATCCCATGATGCCCCATGCTCTCTTCCTTTTGGTTAGCACTGAGTCACTTGTGGAACAAATCTTGTCGAAGAGTCGTGCTTTGCCTCTGCTGGAGAAAAGTAAAGGCAGAGGCACATATTCCCACAGGGAAAATAACAGGCCCTTACCAGGTCACTGTGTGATTGAAGTGATGGTTAGAGAGAAGTTCTTAAGAAGGGGAAGCCTGTGAATCAAAGAAGTGCCCTCTCCATCCAGCCAGCTAGACTTCGATTACAAAAGGCAAGTTATTTCTTACAGGGGATGATAGACTTGACATACATTTTGGGAGAGAGAACGAATGAAGTGAGTTCGATGCAGCTGGTGAAGCAACTCCACGGCCTCTTCTGTCAACTTGAGAGTCATCAACCTACGTGGTCATCAGTTCTTGGGCTCGGAGCCATTGAGAGTCACCCATGGAGGACTGCAGAAAGGAAAATGCCTGGCCCAGACCAACCGCATCAGAATCCCCAGGGGTAACTCTAACGTGCATCGGAAGAGGTTCATGAAGGTGGAAGAGACACAGAGATACACCATGAAAAGGAGAAAGTAAGAGCTGAAAATGCAGCCCCAAACCCCAAAGCATCTTGCCACTGAACATTAGAGGTCTGCACTTCCTGTCAGTAAAAAACGTACTTAATTAAACTCTAATGAGCTTTCAACTGCTGACACACGCCAGCATGTGAAATACATGAATCACTCCATTCTTAGGCAGTACGAGTCTTCTGTTCATGTCTGAAGCCTTAAATGTAGCCACTTAAGCCTCTCATATGTCAGACATAACTGGGGACCCCAGAAGCTGCGCACGGGCCTGGACGTAAAGCAGTCGGGGGGAGAGCCGGAGGGCAATGGGTGACAGCCCCCAGGCCGCCACAGCTGCAGCTGCACAAGTGGACACTCTCTGAGAAACCATCTCTTTTCCCTGCAGACTGAGACTGAATGAAAGGAACATTTCTGAATCACGTCCAGGGAACAGGCTGTTCTCTGGGAGGCTGCAAGCTCTCTGTCTCTTCTAGTGAAGAAGGAGAACAGGTAAGTGAAATATTTCTCATTTTTTTAACACGTTTCTCATGGCCACATACAAGGGGCTGGATATCCAGATCAGGGTTTCAAACTTCTTCTTTCAACGGTCATTATTTTGTCCCCCCTTAGGGAGCATATGTTTTGAACACTGTTGCCTGCTTGGATGCATTAGTTCAGTAATAACTTGCTTGTCCCTGTACTAATGAACCAACGACATGGAAACTGCAGGTCAGCGCTGCCCAGCACACCATGAGTGCACTCAAAAATATTCGCTGCTGTGAATTCCACCTAATGGCACCATGCTGAGTGATCTATTTTCTACCAAAAGGAAAGAAAATGGATATGTGGGTTAGTTCCACAGCCTTTCTAAATTGAGGAGGTTTTGGAAAGAGTTCAAAGATTCATTTGCAGGACCGTGGAGCACTACAGCTCCCGCGAACCCATATCAGGGAGGACTAATGTAGACTTTGGTCCCTCCAAACTGAGCACCGACGAGGTTTAAACTGCTTCTGGCAGGGACTTACAGAAATGCTCTGTTAGGCTTCTTAGTTGTACCTTGAAGAGAGAGGGGAAAGCCTGCTTAGTGTGGGGGATGGAGATGCCTCCGTTGGGCTGCTGGACCAGAGATAAGACGGCATTGGTCCAAGGGCCTATTCTGGAGCCTGAGTACTTACGTTTGGCTGCAGGCAAGTTCATGGACCACTGCATCAGAATCACCTGGGGAACTTGTTAAAATGCTGATTCATAGGTACCACCCCAGAATTTTAATAGAATCTCAGGGAAGGAGTCTGTCATATGCATTTTAAATAAGTTCCCAGGGGACTCTGAGGCATCTGCCCTTGAGAGCCCCGGTCAAGTACTCTGCCCCGCCAGGCATGGAGGGGAGGGCTGGTTTGTGAATGAAGACAGCCCATCCTCAGCAAACAGCTGCTGGCTGCCAGCAGCGCCCCCTTACATCATGCGCTGCCTTAGTGTTCACCACGTGCCTCACAGCCGGAGTCTCATTCTGCCCTCCTTAGCTCAGGGGGGCATCCGAAGGTGGCAGAGGTGGGGGGAGGGGGCCTCAGAACTTCCACAGACTGACCATCCTCTTCTTTTTAGGCCTCCTCCCCACATGCCCTCGTCATCCACACTCCACCCAAATGCACCACATGACACATTTTGCCTTATCTCTTCCCCACTCTTGCCAGGGGGTGCCTTCCCACCCTCACCACACTGGGGTGTTTCACCCTCGGAGGCACAGATGGCATCGACAGCCATTGCCCACATGTTGGAGGGGCTCTGACAGGGGCATGGGAGAATGTAGACTTTATCCACGAACAGTAAAAAAGAGGAGGGGTGGCACTAATCCAAAACAGTGCCCCCTGCAGCTGGACTGGCTGAGATGCCCAGGCACCACTCAAGCATGTGTTCAAAGCCCCGGGCTCACTCCCCTTCCCCGGCTCTGGAGGGAGAGACACACTCTTCTCCAACACCTGGACCCTCAGCACTTGCTGAAGGAGACCCCATGAGCCCAGCTTACCTGCCCGCCATCCTCCTGCCGGCCTCCATGGAAGCCCTACAGCCTCTGACCTTCGAGCTGAGCTCTCCTAACTCAGAACCACCAACCCTGCGTTCCTCTCTTGAGCTGCTCCTGTTCCAGAAAAGAATGGGATGAGCAGGATGTGGACACAAGGCACCTGGAAATACCACAGTTTTCGTGGACTTTCTGCTCCTGTTGGCACCACAACCCCCAACAAAGAGGCAGCCGAGACTAGGGTGGCTGCTACTATCTTCTAGACTGGGGTTGCTCAGTGCTGCAGATGTGGGATGACAACCACACCCCTGCTCCCCGCCTCACCCCGCCCTCCCAGTTGAGGCCGCTCAGCTCCTTCCTATGAGCTCGTGAACTCAGCCCTGTTTTAAGAAGACCCAGGTCAAGGGGTCCAGGCACCGGGCAATATCTCTGTAGGTGCTCCCACATCCACTCTTCCTCTGCCTCAGCCGGAGGAAAATGGGGTCTAGAACCCCAGGTCCCCCCTCTGCCTGCAGTGGGAACTGCTGTATCCCACTGAGATACGTCTCAAGGTGCCTAACAATTTGCCCTGCTCCACCCTTGGACAGTCTTACTCTTAGGCTTTGAGGGTCCGGGCACATTGACAGCCAGAGCTCTGCCACTGAAGCTAGGGGTCCGGTTCCCCTGCTGGCCCCTCCTTTCACAAGTGGGAACAGTCCCTTCGCCTCCCTTGCCTCAGTTCTCTCATCTGTTAAGTAGACTCGAAGTCTGTACCTAGTTTGGGGGCTGTTGTGAGATCTGATAATAGATGTTGAAGAAAATGCTTCAAAGACTATATAAAGCTAACTAGCTTTTTAAATATTTCTTTTCCTGCTTGTACAAGGCATATATATATATACATATACATACATAGTAAAAATTTTGGAAAGTACAGAAAAGAGTAAGGGAAAAATCATCTATAATCCCGCCACCTGAGCAACTCTGATCATTTCTGGTTCATTTCCTTCTTCATTTTTAAACAATTTTTTTCATAGTTGAGATCATTCTCTTTTTGTGGTTTTGAATGGTCTTTTGAGATCTTGCTTTCTTTTTTAACTCAGCGTAGCATAAGCACATTCCTATGTTGTCAAAAAGTCTTCCTAAGCATAATGTACTTACATGATGCGGGCAATGAACATCTTGGGGCATAAAGCTTTTTATGCATTTTTAATTACTTCCACAGGATAACTGCCCAGAAGTCAGATCACTGGGTAAAGGTATGAGTAGCTGAAGACTCTTCATGCACATTGTAGCTATTGTTACCTGAGTTGGAAACTGAAGCTCATAATTGAAATAATTTGTCCTGGTCCACACAGCTAATCTTCAGGAAGTGCCGGGCAAAACAAAGGGTGAGACATTCATGTTCTGTGGTCTGTGCTTAACAACACAGCCGAACACACACACAG